TATATGATGTTGGTTTATATTGGTTTATGAGGGAAAATAAATAAATTTTAGTTAAATAGATCAATTGAATGTAGTTTAACCCTTTTAAAATTGCAATTATTAGTAGAATTTCTGAATTTTGTTGGACTTTATATGAGAGAGATTTTGTGTGATGCTGCAAATGTTGATTTGTCTCTGGTTATGAAAAGGTAAGATAGGGTTACCAAAAGCTATAGATTTATATAGTACATTTACCTTTATTGAATGTTAAGATAGTCTTCATGAAATTACTTATCACAAAAAAAACGATAGTCTTCATGAAGTTGCCATAGTTGTTGTTTAGTTGAAGCTTTCTAGTACTGGCACTTAGCATTGTCATTAGATATCTTCGGTCTTGATCAAGATAGAGTACGGAGGTTTTACTGTCAGTCTTGGTTTTTCTTTGTTGGGTTTTGTTCCCTCCTTGCCCTCGAAAATAATAAAAAAGAATGCTGTCCTTGCATCACAATATCGCTAAAAAAAAATGCATGGATCAGAACATGTTCAAAACATGTTTTTTTGGGAGTGGGAATTGGGAAAGGTGCAGCTATTGTATGCTGTTTGCGCAAATAAATTTGAGAAAATTCAGGTAGTTTGATATCCAATTAAATATTTTAATTCAGCTAAGTTTGCACAAAATAAAGCTTTATACTTTGAAATAGATTAAAAGTGGCTAAATTTTGTATGGATGGACTCCTTATCCAAAGTAGATTAAATTCATGATGTGGCATTTTCTTTTGAAAATTTCTTGCAGTCAGTATGCAACAGCAAAAGCAGAACACAGCGCACAACATACCAGTTATATGGAGGGGAAAGAAGTTTATTCTAGAGATGGATTCAGGTGCTACTCTCAAAAAGTTAGACCACGAACTGCAGAAACTGACTGATGTCAAAGTAGATACTATGCGGCCCATTGTACCACAATTTTCCAATAAAATTCCGAAATCGCTGTTGCCTTTCTCAGATGAGCACTCCACTCTAAGTTTGCGAGAAATATCCTTTCTCGAGGTACCATTCTTTACTATTAATCTATGGTCAATAAATATTGGTTTTACAACATGGAATTAATTCTTATAATTTGTGCTTGTATTTTGCCTTTATTTTGTGGTGTGTGTGGTTTTCTCAAGTACACTTGTCCTGACTTGAATCACATCAGCATATGAATACACCATCGATGCATGCCAAGGACAACTGATTGCTTTGCATTTTTCTTTTGTTCTTTTTTATTTTTTCCCCCCTGCTGTGTTTGTGGTTTTTTCAAGCACACTTGTCCTGGATGTCATCGCTTCCATTAGTATCATCATAGCGAGTAAGAAAGCCTGAATAATCAAGTCTATTAAATGAACTGTTTAGTAACAGTAAATGACTGAAATGACAATTTTTGTTGAGCACAATTTTTTATGGGGTTACAATTGTCAATGCTACAAGCCTACAACATATATATATATTGGTTAAACTAGGTCAGTCTTGAGCCCAATTTTTATTTGAGACAGATCCAGAGCATGCGTGCACATGCACACACATACAAAAGAAGGTAAAACACACATACAAAAGAAGGTAAAGAGTAGCTGCAAGCCTAGAATAAGTTTGCAATAAATTTTAGAAATAAAGTTCACTCTTCTTTCCACATCTCAGAAGAGCAACATTGTTGTTATTGTTTTATAACTTTGTAAACATGTTTGAAGATTTCTTATCGGTCTTGTATGGTCATCAATTATTGCATTCTCTATTTCAGGGGAAGTCTATTAGGATGATGGGAGTGCCTGAAATTGAGGTGGATGAATTCCTGCAAAATGCAAAGGCCAACCTGAGGATAGCAGGATTTGAGCAAGAGGAGAAGGGACTGAAGCAAAGAATGTTAGATAGACAACATACTTCTCTAAAACTTCCACAAGGACAATACATCTTTTGTGATTTTAGCACACTTCATATTCCAGGAGTAGAGGTATAGTCAGGGTTTGCTGCAATTCTTCTTTTTCTGGCTTTTACATACATGAATTTTCTAATTTACTTGTTTTATATTCAAGTTGTATAAGGAAACATGAAGAATCAATAACTATGGGTTTTAGGTAGATTTGGTGTTCTTGGGGGATTTTCTCTCTCCGTGTCCGCGCGCTTGTGGGCTGGTTTTTTTCAGTTAGGTGTGTGCTGCAGGGGTTTCCTTTAACTAAAATTCAACCCTTATTGTGAATTTTTTTGAAGAGGCCAGTGGCTACCACTTCACTTCGTACACCATTTTCCTAATTCCTATATAACTTGTTTGCATCTAAAAGCATGTTGCTTAGGGAGGAATAGTTGTGATTGTGGTGTGTGTATTTTGGGCTATCTCCCATCTGAGTGACTTCCTGTTCTGTGAGCTCAATCCCCAAGGAAAGCTTATTTTGTAAGATTTGAGACGTTGGTAAGTAGTTCAGAAATCATTTAAAAGGTCATTAGTTGAGTTGGTTGAACCAAGGTTGGATAAATTAATATCACCTTCTTCCTGAAATATTGGACCATTCCGAGGTGGGACGTCAATGGGGTTACAGATCTTTCCCTGTCTGATCTAGGGCCTAATATTTAAAGTGCTTTGAGAGGCAATTAGCATTATGAAAGAGGCATTAGCTTTGTAAACAGAAAGTGGCTCCTGTTAAGGGAATTCCTTTGTAGTATTCTGACTTCTATTATTCACCTTCTTCCTTTAAGTTGTTGGGATTTCAATGGCTTGAGAGGGTTTAGGTTGAATACATGTGGCATGTCTACTGATTGGAATTGATATATTGTTTGGTGAAATGGGTGTCATTTTTTGGATAAACAGGTTGTGTGTTTGGCATTTCGCTCTTCAGCAGTCACGTACCTGGATTTCTGGGTTAAATAGTGTTGTAGGGGAAGGAAAACAGACTCTTACCAAGAGCAGCACATATTTGTATAAGTGGTTCAAAGGCTTGAAAAGATTCAGAAATACTTCCTATTCGGGATAGGCTAGTGGATATCAAGCCTTCTGTAGCAGGCATATAGGATCTGAGATTGAATTGGTCTTCCATCGCAGAGGGGCGGGCTGGCATTTCAGGCTGCCTTATTTTCATCCAGGGCTTGGCTGCTACAAAACAAAATAGGGGGCTATAAAGTGGAACTAAAAATATATTTCGGTGATTTGGGATTCTGAACTCTGATCACTTACATGTTTTTCTGAGGTAGTGGGTTTTCAGATTGGGGAACTCCCTTTGTAAAGTAGTGCTAGTATCTCACTCAAACCCTAGTCTTCTTATAAAGAGCACCCCCTGGCCCTGGATTCCACCTAGAATACAAGGTTTTTGGCAACGAATCATAAAGAATTCAGATAACTTCCTGTTGGGAAGTTAAAAGTCTCAAAATCTCCCGTCTTTACGTTTGTCAAGTGCATGGTTATTGTGTGTGCTTGTTCCTTTGCTTTCTCTGTTCAAGTCTTGCATGCGTCCCATGTTCAATAAAGCTATTATGTCTTTGCTTTTACCTTTTTTTGGATAGGAATGAGGTAGTCTGTTTCTTGAACTGCTTACTGACCTAGTTGTTGCTGTCAGCAGTTGAATCCACCAGCCTCAGTCACTGAAACGAATGCATATTATGCTTGCTGCAGATCCAGGAATAATTTCTGTCATGAATAAGGTAGTATCAGGTGCCATTTCTTAGTTGCAACTGTACAATTTACATAATTTTTTTTGTCAGTTCTGATATGGTATGTTCTTTTGTATCTCTTAAAAGCATTGTTGGCGGGTGGGAATTATGATTGAGTTGGCCCCAGTGGGCTATGTTGGTGTGTGCCCCAAATATGTTCTTGATTTCAACTAGGTAAGGGTCAGCCTCAGCATGAGAGAGGTGAATTTATTATATACACTTTTCTCTTCCTTTTTTTTTTTTTTTTTTTGGTGGTTTCGATTCCTGATTGGTGTTCCAGAATCATGGAGAGGAGACATCTCTACATCTACAAACTGATGACCTCAAGGGTTTCAAGAAATATGAGAGCATCAAGAATACTCTTCTGCACGAACTTGTAAGTTGTAAGCTTTACTTTGTTATGAAATATGTCAAATCTCTTTCTCATGCCCATGTCTACATGTGTCGTAGCTTCATTTTTATGCACGGCAATATGGTGAATAATTAGCAATGACTATCAAATGCACTTATTTGGTTCTTATAATAAATTTAGGCTCACATGGTGTACTAGGAACCCGATGCAAACTTCTATGCTCTAGATAAACAGGTATGTATGGATGTGCCTCTCTCTCTCTCTCTGTCCACGTGAATCGACTAAATCACTAGGGCTTGGTTTTCTCTTAATTGAATCCCCTCCTTTATTTCTTGCAGCTTAACCAAGAAGCTGCTAGTTTAGATTGGACAAGAACAAGAAGCCACACCTTGAGCAGAGTCAGGAACTCAGAACGTTATGAAGAGGAGTTTTATGCTGATAGCAATAGCAATTCATCTCAAAAGCTTGGGGAGAACACATCAGTTGAGCTGGCTAATGCTCGTACATCTTCAGTGGCTGCTGCTTACTGCCATGTAGCAGATGCATCTACTAACATACATTCAGAAGGGGACCAAGATGATTCTGGGTTTGGTACTGATGAAGAACCTGATCATATGGAAGCTGTGGATAAAGAAAGAATGGATATTAAAAAGCAAAACAATGCTCAGTTGAAATGCATTGACGAGCCTGATCCTGTTGACTGCTACAAGAGTCAGAAAAAGTTGGAGCCCTACTTTGATGATACCGAGGGTGGTGAATCTATGGTTACTGAACCACATTTAGAATCCATGGAAAACAGGATCTCCTCGGAATCAGATCGTGATGCTGTTGAGATGGCACAGACTGTACCTCCTTTGACAGCCGAAAGAAAGTTGGCAATAAGTTAATAACTGAGTCATGTCAAGTACCTGATCCTGATGTTTCTCAGGCCAATGGAGTTTCATGGGCTGAGCCTGACCCTGATGATGATTTGGCACCTGGGCAGGGAATTTCTAGAATGCAGACTGATGAACTTGATCCTGATGATGAAGAATTACAGAGAATTCAAGACCCTGTTACTGTCTTTTGTAGTCGTCTGCAGAAGGCCATTAAGATGTTGCGATCTGAAGTTTATCCTTTGGAGGCTGGCACAGTCTTGCAATTTTTTTTAAAGATAATTTGGTAAACTTGTACAACTTGTATTACATATTCTTTGTGAAACTGTCCTAGTTGTTAACCCATTTTGTTGTTGACAAAAGTTGTAATTTATTTTCTCTATGCAGGAATGTCTTTGAAAGCCCAGATAAAACGAAATTCAAAAGACTCCGCACGGTACGGTATTTCCATGTCATCCATAATAACATATATTTTTTCCCCTTGATTTTTTGTTTTAAATATCACATTTTGCTCATCAATCTTCTTATGTTAATGGATTATGTACTGCAGGCTAATCCCATAATTCAAAGACATGCTGCAAATTATAAAGGTTTGCCTCTCTTCTCAATCTTAAAATTTTGAATTAATTGAATGCATGAATGTCCCAAAACTAAATGCGATTTCGTTGTTCTGTTTGACAATGTCAATTCAAATTGGAATTGTCAAGTCATCCATAATAGTTGTAGCCAAAACAAGAATTCATTTAATTGAACCATCTAGTTTCATTTGTTTAATGTGGGACATGTCTCGCTTCAAGATTTATCAACTAAAATTCTATTTCCATTACACTCGATTCGATTTTATCTTGAAAATGCCAATGCATCCTAGAAGGTCCATCCAAACCTTAAATCATGCTGGCCGATGTTTCAACTAAAAGTGTCTGTTCTTTAAATGCCATTTGAACAATGCTTGTTTTCTGATTTTTGTGATTTACAGCTGCCATGGAGATTCTTTCATTGATTGGTTTCCATGAAGATGTTGCGTTGGATGGAATTGGGAAGACGGAAACTTCTTTAGTGTTGAAGCGGAATGATCCAGGCTTCTCTTGGCTTGCCAAATCCTCCCTAGAGACTTGCATTGTATGTGGAGTAGCAGTTGCAGTACAATGAAGATTTATAACAGAAAAGTGTGGAGAATAACTGTGGTATACGTATAAATCTTGTATTCTGTTGTGTATAAATACATTTTAGAGTTCCAGAATTGTATTTTCAATGTTGTGACAGATTTTCAGGTAAATATTACATGGTGATAAAGGCTTGGGTTTTTTTTAAAAAAAGTTGGAATGCTTCTTATGGCATGTTTTATTGGTTGTGTGGTGGTTTTAAATTTTGATTAAGCAAAACTTGAACCATTATTCAATTTTCTATGTTGATTCTTTTCCTTTCTTTTTTTGGTTTAAAGTTGTTATGATTATTATTATTATTTGATTTGAGTTTAGGTTTATGAAATTTTACCATTATACTAAAGGATGGCAATGGGGCGGGGAACGCGTTCTTCAATCCCATTTAGAATAGTTACTCCCAAAACCGTTTATTAAATCATGTATTCTGTTATGTATAAATACATTTTAGAGTTACAGAATTGTATATTCAATGTTGTGACATTTTTTTTTTTTTTTTTAAAAAAAGTTGGAATGCTTCTTATGGCATGTTTTAATGGTTGTGTGGTGGTTTTAAAAAGTTCGTTCTCTTGCCGCTTCATTTCATGTGTTAGCAAACAATCAAGTACTTCCTTGTTACCAAAATAATGCTCAATCCCAGGAGATCAAACACCAAAAATAATGTTCAAGTGTTTCCAACCCTGGTTTTATGGAATATAATTCATGAGCAGACAGGGAAAAAAGACGAGTATTTCCTCGTTACCAAACGACAAAATAAAAAATAAAAAATGAATTCAATCTTGTCATATTTTATGACCATAAAGAGATTATGAGAACTTTACTTATAATTCTCACAAACATGATCTTACATGTTAATATAAGTGACAAATAGACAGGAGGAAAAAATAGGTTTGTGTTAATAGCACATAAAAATGAAAAATAAAAAAATCGGATTCAACTAAAAGACACTCGAGAAATTGAGTCTACAGTCAATTTCCTAACATAGTTGGCACAATCCAAATTGAGGGTGGCATATGCTTATGTGAAGGGTCAAGAGTGTAATGCGTCCCAAAGCTTCCATTCTCTACGTTGAAAATATCAATGTCACAATGCCTAGATGGGGGATGGAATTGTATGTCAATATAATCATCGCTATAGTATATGGAATTTGGCTGGCAGCCGGGCCATTTGGAAGCTGAAACACAAATTGAATGGTTATCTTCCAGAAATAGGGAGTCTCCACCCAAGCTCTTCAATTCAACCTGTTTAGGCCAACCCTCCTCAAGTTGCTCTAAGAGCAACTTGAAAACCTTAAACTTTGAAGTTGTATGTTGACAATCATTATCATCATCACATCCTATAAACCTTTGCACAAAAAGTAAATCCCCACTAGATGATTCGACAAGATAAGTCCGTTCAAATGCCACTTCATTCCGCGGTGCAATTACCTTCACTTGCGGAGCCTTACTCTCCCCAACCCTTTTGTTAAGATCAACCATTATGATTTGACTCCAATGATCAACCGCAAAAATCTGTCCTTTATAATATATAACATCATAAATGAGGATAAATCTCTCTTTATCTATGTAAGTCCAAGTTGTGTCTCCGGGTTGAAAGAATGCAAGTCTTGCATTATCACTATAGATGGCGCTAACAATATAGTCATTGGGAGACAAAGTAGGGTTGGTAGAAAATATAGCCTTCATAACAAAATACTCAACCTCATCTTCAATAGGAGTTGTGTCATAATAGCCGTCTTCGAGGTCGATCTCTATATGATCTTCAACCCGGTCGAATTCTGCACGGTCCATAATTGGAGGAAGTTGCATGTTATCGCCAGAGAACGGATTGATTAGGGTTAAGGCAAAAGATTCTTCAACAGTAAACAGCCAACCATATACCAGAAAGCCTCTTTTTGTAAGGTACTTTTAATTGAAAATCATATAGTTTATTGTGAGTGATTCAATATAGACTACGTCTTTCATTGCTATTATCTTCCATGGGGACCATCAAGAATGGAACTTGTCTGCAAGCCTTCCTTTCAAGGAATTGAACTTTGTTTTGCATTGCCACGGACCGCCATTGTTTACGGACCGCACCAAAGCGAAACCAAGTTGTCTAGAATCATATCCAACAAGTGCTTCGGAAGCCAGGACCAATCTGACTTTGATAATGAGCCTATATCCATTACCAATAGCACTGCAAACAATCGCAGTAACTTAGCTCATGTCTACCATAATCGATTAATTGGCAAAAATTCGAACAAACATTCAAGATTTTAAAATAAATTATTAAAAAAAAAACAAATAGTTTGAATTAGTTATAGGTGTGATCAATTTACATATAATGTGTAAAATATGTAGTTATCAATTTACATATAAAAAAAAGAAAAAGAAAAAAAGAGAGTTATATATGATACATGAATTTATTCAAGCATATGAATGTCAGCTAATATAATCACAACTACTCACCTGATTTCTGCAATAATCTTAAACTTCACAATTGGCGATGATAACCAACAGATCAACAATGAGTAAAGAGATAACGCTCTACTGACCTGTATATGTAGTGATAAATTCTTTTCCTATTCAGAAACCAATTTTAGAGGAAAATTCTTAGAATCCTAATCGAACAAGGATGAGTCCAGGGTTTTATTTCCTCGTCTCGTCACTCTCTAAAACGTACATATATATATATATACACACACGTGTGTGTATATATATATATATTATCGGTTAGCATGAAAAGTTGATATTTATATTAATAATAATAATAATAATAATAATAAATGATAAATTGGGGAAACTATCGAGTAAAACGTATCTTGAATTGAATTGAAAAATGAATCGGGTTAACCGGGTGACAGAAATATTCAAAACATGATTACGGATGCTAGGAGTGTTTTATTTAATCCGCCAAATTGTAAAATCGGTTCGAAACTATTATATGTGCAATACAAATCGGATTTTTAATCAAACTGTTTGGTTATAAATTTATTAAGTAGAAATTAGTTCGTTTTGATTTAATTAACAGATTAGGACCTGAAAAATTCGATCAATTGTATAGCAAATTCCGTCTGATTATATTATTTACAAATATATTATATATATACTATATGTTATATATAGACTATTTGATGCAGTGCAAATGGAATACAACTTTCTTCAAACAATTGAAGATCCCAAGAAGACTAGACTGAGGTTGCATTAATAGGAGAACCATTGTTTATTGGATTTAAGTCATTAAATTAAAGTCATAAATCTTTTATAATTTTCTGTTTAATATTTGCCTTAATTTTTAGTTGGGAAATTTTTGTCATTTCATTTTTATTTAATGAGTAACGTGTCTGAGTAAAGTGACCACTTAAGGGTAGTTTTGTCAATTTTAACATATTTTATTCTATTGGACAGAATAGATTATATTTATAGGAAGGGTTATGATTAAATCTTTTCCGGACATGGGGCTTATAAAAGGATTGTTCCAAGTTGTATTTAGCAGCCTTTTATGTATTATCAATATATCCAGTTTGGGGCTTTTTGATCAATAGAGCTATCAAAAAGTTGTGATTTATTTTGCACTAATATTTTTTTAAATAATTCTATTGCTAATTTTACAATAATATTCTTTAATAGTATGTTAGAGCATCTCCAATGCTAAAATGTCAAATTCGGATGCTAAATCTATATTTTGACAGTGCTACAGTGTTAAAATGCAACATTTTAACAATTCTGCTCCAATGATAAAAATGTTATTTTTTAACACAACTACTATTCTTTTTTAACTACCATTCCCACCATTCATATTTGCATTAGTAATGTTAATATTAGGCACATTGTAAGTCAAGTTGTAGACATTAGAAGGAAACTAAAATTAAACTTAATTAAAAAGAATTAAAAAAACTAAAATATCTGGTCAAAAAAGGACCAATATATATATATATATATATATATATATATATATATATATATATATATATATTGATTATATTATTATATAAATTTTTTATATATATAATATTTTTATCTTTTTTGGAAATTTATATAATATATATATATATATATATATATATATGTATATTATATATATTTGATTATATTAATATTAAAAATAGATATATATATTTAGGGCAAATCATTTTAGCCTCCCAAATATATATAGTTTTAGGGCAAATCATTTCAGCCTCACAAATCGCCTCCATCTCTATTCACTCGTTCACAACTCTGAAATTGCCCCTCTCTCTCTGTGCCACCGCAAACTACAAAATCTACAAGAATTAGATGTTCAAAACCCACATATTTAACTTTATCTTACTGTCTACAAGAATCAAAAATCCAAAACCTATTAGCTATACCAAAATCCATATCCGCCATATCATTTCAGATTGTTCAAAAAATCAAAACCCATATCTTTCAGTTTCCATATCCCGCTATTCCAGTTCGGGTTCGCGTTCGCAAGCTTCAGCTGCTGTCTCAAGCTTGCTTCCCTCTCTTTCTCTACAACTGCTAACTTGTATGTATGGGTTTTGTTTTAATTTTTTTTTCTGTAATTCTATTTTATGATCAAGGTCTGTAATTCTTGTTTTGCAAACTAAATACTATTTTGTGAAATTTTTTATGATCTTTTTTAAATATATATATATATATATACACACATAGTATATATATATATATATATATATATATATATATATATATATATATATATTTGAAACCCTCTCTCTCTCTCTCTCTCTGAAATGGCTACTGCTATTTCTTGTACTACAATTGGCATAAGAAATAGCAAAGTTAAAAAATAGCAGCCAAAATAGCATTGCATTGGAGAGCCCTGTTTCAAGCCAACTTGCTATATTTTGAATTGGCAGCCCATATGACAGCCCCATTGGAGATGCTCTTACCATAATTGATAATAACTCTTTTAAGAAATGAGTGTATTTGTCATTATAAAAGTTAAAAAAGATATAATTGAATAGTAAAAAAGAATTATCTAAAATATTCATTATTCATAAAGGAG